TTAAATTAATTTAAATTGTCTGACAGCAATGTTGCAATTTTGTTTGCATTGTAATTTTTCAGCATTACCAAAACTATCCCATTCCACAACACAAAGTCATAATCAGTAAATTAGAATAAATTCCATAGGTGAAGTTTTGCAAATTAAAAATAACTTTAAAAAAACATACTTTTAGTAAGAATTTAAATACAGTATTTAGCAACTGGCTATTTCGGTCAAAAAAGGTTTTTTTTGCTCACTTATTAAATATTTAAATCCTAAATGTTATGTTTTAATCAGCTGCAAAGAAAATCTCATAAAAAAAAAGGCTTCAAAACAAAATTTCATTATAGCTATTTTATACTATGTTCTGATTTTAGTTAAATTGGTTAGGCTGCTGAGAATGAATGCAATAAAATATACTTACTCATTTTTTTTTTTTTTTTTTAAATGCCCTGCTGAATTGTTGCTGTTTATAATCTCTTGGGATAAAGATGGGGGTGGTTTCATCACAGCCTTAAACTGACAATTAAACCAAACATTTGAGCTGTGTGAGGAAGCTGAGGCAGGTACACACAGTGGAGACACGCATGGAGACCTGTTACAGGATAGTATCTGAGCGTGTCACATTCTTTCTTAAGTTACATAGAGGACCATCCAACCCAGAATTACAGGTCAATAATCACAGAATAAAGCAGCATTTCAATGGCTTTACATTAACATGCTATTTTTACCCGATCCCATCACAACAGCCAACTCTTAAGTATTTTTACAGAGTTGCAGAACAAATGCAGCAATTAGCCGTTCATCGTAGCTTCATAATACATCACATCCATAAAATACTTATGCTGCATTATCCAAATCAGACAGCAGTTTTCCATATCTGTGTCATTTATGAGCTTATCAAATTTGCTTTGCTTTAAGAGGTTATAATGGGGACGATGTAATTACAGACAAGCTTTCATAGAGCTGAGTGCTCATGAGATTTAATAAGAGAACTTATCACAACACTGTACAAGACAAGCTCTGACTGGAAAAAAGCATGCGTTACATCAGACAGTAAAAATAATCTATTGCTCACTTTTAATACTGTTACCTGACTGCTTTTACAGTATACATGAGATCATTGTTTATTTTCCTACTCTGAGTTTACAAGAAAGTAAAATCTGTGATTTTGCCACTTCTGTCAAATAAAACTGGCGCCAGTGTGTCTGGGGATGAGAGAGAGGGATTTTAGTTTAATAATGAGAGGCACAGAGAGGACCCGTAGACAAAGCATTTAGTAAGACAATGTTCAATGTACAGACAGTGTTTATAGCTGATCGAAGCCAATCAAGGCTGACAGAATAGCTGGCTTTCTTGTTTGTCGAGCCCTAAGAAGATTACAAACCACCGGCCACAGCATCTTATCCCTCAAATCCCTCTCTAACACCAGGCAGCCTTGTGCAAATACAGATCTCAGGCTCCTTGTTGCCACCCTGTCCTGGCACCGTCCTTCAGTCAGGGTGTCAGAATTTAATAAAGACACTATTAAAAACAAAGAGGAGGAAAGGCGGCAAACCACCAAGGCAAAGGAAGGACTTTGCAAAGCCTGAGGGCAGATTAAATTACAAATAAAACTGCTTTCTAATAAATGTTGAAAAGTAGCTGTATGCTTATAGCAGTGTTGAAAATACTAATGGGGGGCCTTAAGTCTTGCTCTTTCAATGTAGGTGAATGTAAAAATTTCCTCCATATACATTTCTTGTGTTCTTGTCACATTAAAATGTTTAATAGAATTTGAAAAAAACTTGACTGTCAGTCAAAGAAAACAGCAAAAATTAATTTCATATTTAACAAAACGAAAAGGCTATGACATAGGTGGGTACTAATTAGTTACATTTACTCAGTTACATTTACTTGAGTAACAATTTGGGAAAAAAAAGTACTTTTAGGAGGTTTACTGTGCCGTACTTCTTACTTTTACTATTCCTAATTGAGTAAAAAAATAGACAGTAAACAGTAGATACTAGCAGTGGAAGTTTGTTACCCTTTCTTAACATACATACAAGTTGTCATGTTACGTTTTTATTTTTTTTTTAAGTTTTATGTTAGAAAACGAAAAAGGTACAAGTATTTCTTCTGTATTAATTGTATATTCATTAATTTATTCTATTTTTTAGGCCTTTGAGTCTTTAAAATGTCAGAACTTGCACATCAAGCCTGTTTATCAGCATAATTTCTAAACTTTAAATCTGATGTTACTATCCAACTTTTACTCAGTTCTGAAGCAGCCCTTTTTGCAGAAAATTTTTGTATTTTACCCGAGTAATTTCTTGGATGACTCCTTTTTTGTTTTGAGTACAAACATATTAAAGTAGTACCACTCTTGAGTACAATTTTTGGGAACTGTACTTACCTCTGATGGCAAAGCCACCTATGTGGATAAAGTACTTGCAATCCCTGAATTTTGATTACATACACCTAAAAAAATAATCATTTAAAACAGGACCTGCTTGAGAATATTCATTTGGCCGAAAGTTTTCATGACGCAACCCATCCCCATCCCAAACCAAAAAAAATTCAAGAGCAATTTAGAAAAGGCTGTTGTCGTTTATTACTATGGAAGGGGTTTCAAAGCTTCATGCATGAAACAAATGTGCTGTCTCCCATGAGTCGCTGATCAAATTTACAGCATGTCAGCAAAAAGGGCACAGAAGAAACTAGAATCACAAATAAAACATGTAGATCTCACTTACCTCAGCGATCACATTTCTACAAAAAAAAAAAAACACTAGGGAAAAAAAAAAAACATTCATAGAAGGGTAACGGCAAAAATCAGAAAAATAAAAACCAGCCATTTCTCATTTGCTAAAAATCATCTTGTTGATTCCAAACATTCTGTTTACCAGAAAAAAGGGTAAATGTTTGGGAGGAGAGTGTCCCGTTCTTCATTTTCCAAACTAAATGTGTTTGTGGTAGTTTGAGAAACTTGGACTGCTTTATACTTTACAGTTTGACTTGATATCATGAATAGGAATTAAGAATCAATTTGCAACCTTGACACTCAAGTTCATTTAGGTTATGCTGCAGGAGAAAAAACCATAGCACACCAGATCAGGCTCGAAATGCTTAAAAGATATGTGTACAATTTTTAACAACTTTAACATTTTGGAAAGTTTTGATCACAACAAAAGTTTTTTGTTTTTTTTCCCCCCTTAACATTAATCAGTGCAGCACACCTCAGAAGCTCAGCACAGTAAACATAAGCAACTTCAGTTAAATGTCCCTTTTAGGTTTCCTGGATTTCCACACATACACGCTAGCAAAAAGATGTTAAGTGAATTAGAGTAGCTTTATAGCAGCCCTGTGTGAGCTGTAAACAGACGTTTATATCTCTATAAAAACTATCAGAATATTAGAACACTCAAGGGAGCAAGTTCAACGCAGCAAGACTCAACTGGCTCATCTTCCAGTCGTTCTAAATAAACGGTACAGCAAATGTTTCATGTTCAGTAGTTAAGAACACAGTGAATTTTTGGAAGCAAGTACACAAGATTACCATTTTTGTCTAGCCCAGTTTATTTTTAATCGGTAACATAACAGGAAACTGGAAGCAGAAAAATAAAAGAAACATTTCACACATATATATATATATATATGTGTGTGTGTGTGTCTTGAACAGATTTTTTCCCTAAATTGTAAGCACATCACAACCAAAAGCTTAAGTCCCAAAACTAAAAGTTAAACAGGGTTCCTTTAAGATACACAAGTTGCATTTATTACCTTTTTTTGTTTGTTTGTTTTTTACCTTTCCACTGCCAACCAAGAAAATAATTCAAAGGCAACTACAGCCAAATGTTATTTCACTTTGCACACTGTAGTTATGTTCCCTCAGTTGTAACAAACCAAGGAGGAGGAAAGAGGAGGAAAAAAAACAAATGATAAAGGAAAAGGCGGCATATTGGGGTAAGTTGATCATCTTGCTAAATGAAAATAAAAACTTATAGAGAGCAATAACAACATATTAGTTAGAGAGAAAGTCAAACATATCTTGCTTTTGTCTGCTGGTATTGCAACTAACCAGCAGTGATCGGCTAAACATGAAGTGCAGGACCTGAATAAACAACGCAGTCCAACACAACTCCCTCGGTTGTTTAATGCAGCTTCAGTCGTCACTCCAAAGTCTTCGTTATGCAAATTTTTCAGGTCCAGAGATTTCTCATTAGCACAGTCTCTTATGTCCTTAAATCTAGTCGTTTAATGTATACACCAAGCACACAAAACCCTTATACTTGTTGATTAAAGAACATGGTTTTGAAGAAGAAATGTCTATATGTGAGAGATAAGAGGATAAGCAAATTGAAAAAAGAAAAAAAAAAACTATAGCCCATTCCAAACATTGAAGTTAAGTCTACATAATCCAAGAACAAGGAGTTTGCTGTCCCCATGTGTTCACATCCGACACAGTCTGTAGGTCCTGATTATGGACCCCCACTTTTTTTGTTTTGTTTTTATAGTCCACTGTGGCAGAAGCACCTTCAGTTTCAGACAATCTGGAAAAAAAAAAAAAATAAATGACGAACTGGTGTTCTGAAGAGCGAGGGAAAAAAGAAAGCTGGTGGGAGGGTGAGGGCAGGGAGAGTTTTGGATATCCTGAGGTGGGTGATTAAAAGCAGTTTATCTTTCTGAAAGGTTTAGGGTTATAGGAGCTGGCTGGCCAGTGCAGGTTAGACGGGACTCGAACAGAGCTTGGCAATCTAGTTTGCCTCGCAAAGTCAATACTTGACGCAGGTACAAAGAAGCTCTGGTCTGGATTTTGAGGTAAAGAGCAGAACCTAGAAACAGCGCCAAAGCCATAGTGTGCAAGAAGGAGAACTTTCTCCCTTTCTCCTGCTGATCTTTTTTTTTTTTTCTGAGGTAAAGAGAACAGGCTAGTTTCCAAAACAAACATAACTGTTTAATTTTGACATCCATTTATATACTTACACACCATTCATAGATTTGTGGTCAAGAGTGCTTCATAAAGCATCATCTTTTCTCTAAAATGTTGGAGTTTTTCCATTTCCAATAGGTATCTTGGTATAAGGGATTCTATCAGACCAAAAGAAGCTGGAGTTAAACAAATAAGAGTAAGGGGAGAATTTGACAAAAGAGCCAATTATAAAATAGAGCAATGCTTTCCAAAAAGTAAAAACTTGTGAAAAACCCTGAAGAATTATAGGAGAAAACCCATATCCACGTTAACGCTGAGACACTGTCTGAAAGCCGAGGCTCCAAAAGAGCAAATGGTTGCTCAAGAACACTCCTCCCCGATGCGCTGGAATGAGCGGCCCACTTTACGGTCCAGCTTTACCATCTTAAGCACAGCCTCCTGACGTCCGCGCCCCTGGTGGTCAAAGAGGCAGTCGTGTTGCTCAGGAAGACGATGGAGCATGCAGAAGATGAAGCCTGCACAGTAAAGGAAGAGTCATTGGGAAGACAAAGGGAAAATCTTTTCATTTACTATATTCAACATCAAATACACATTTCTACCTCAAGTAAGAAAAGGCGATACCTTTTGCTTACTTGCCGTTTCCTACTCTGACTTTATTCCACAGAAAGAAATGCATATTCTCCCAGAATTAGCAATAAAGAATCTGAAACTGTTGGCTCTCTGCATCAATCTTTTTAGCACATGTACTGGCATTCACTGCTGGCATTCGATAAAAGGTAATTAAAGGTCCAGTTTGACATCTGATTGCAAAGCAATTAAAACCAAGCCCAAGACTGCAGAAATTAACCATATGTCTTGCAGAGTTATAAAAAATGAGGCTTAATTTCCCACTTTTATTTTGCTGTGACGTGTTAACAAGTGACACATTTCCTACGAATAGACTGCATTAGATATGTAACTTAAAACTAAACATAAAAAAATAAATATCCTTTCTGTATACATGTCTTGGAATTCCCGCCCCCTCCCCAAAAAAACTTTTGAAATAATCCCAACTAGACCCTTCTAGCAGTGTGTTTTTGCAATGCATGTTATGTAGCCTGAGTCACACCGAGTTTTTGGTGACTAAAGGGGGCCTTTCAGTAAATAAAATTATTAAAAGTAGCGATGAACTGAAATTTCAGCCACTGAAGTTTTTCAGATGAAAATGACCAAAAAGTCTCTTGTTGGTCGTCGGCCGATAGACAATTAACAGAGGAACAGAATGACCGAAACTTGTGATGTTGTGGCAAATAGCATATCCAGCACGGGGGGAAAGGGATCCCACGCAAACAGCACAGCCAGCAAGCAGAGACGTTGTTGAAAGCTCCAAGTGAAACACTAAAGCTGGAGCACACAGGTTGCGAAGCAGATTTTTTTTTTTTTTGTATTTGAGAGTTGAGCGCGAGTTTAAACGCTGCATGTTGGCCGCACTGCGCTTTCAGGTCAGTGTCACAAAATGCCATCGAAATACAAACAGCCCCACCCTCATTCTGAATCCAAGAATCCAAGATGGAACGGGAAACTGACAGCGAACATGTTCACTCAGTCTCTGGTGGACGAGTTTGAAAGCGCACAAAATTTTCACAGTGATCAATTCTGCCAAGGTAAAGTGCAGAACAACAACATGTCAGTTTTAAATAACTATTTTGGTACTTTTGTTATTGAATAATTCATAATTTATTGAAGTTCCTTGAGTTAAAAAAAATGTAGTTTTTTAATACGGATGTAAACAACATAAAAAAGAATTTTCTTTTCAGTGCATGCCTTATCAAACTAATTTATTTTAGTTTTTTATTGCATCTTTTCTAAGTACGCTTATTGTCTTCCATTGTACTTTCTGCCAACAGGCTTGGATATGTTGGTGATTAAACAGCGGACCAGTTCAACACTTAGCGTTTATGGCTTTCCTGACTTGTGAAGGGTGTACATGACAATTCAATAGTCTGAAGTATTTTGTAGAAATGGACATAAAAAATAGTATTTCTGAGTTAAACATGATTGGTTAAATTGTTTAAGTTTTTAGGTCATAAGATATTGAAGAGAAAGAAAGACTTGAACTACATCTTTGTATCTGATAAATCTGTATATGTTTCAACGGAAATAAATCAATCAAAATACAATAATTTCAGATTTTTTTTAAATTATGGAGATGTATGCATATTGATCTAGTCTTATTTAAATATCCAAACCTAATGAAGGATTTTGTTTTCTATAAAAACTTAAAGAGCATGAACTGAAAAAAAGAAAAAGTTTCATCACAGCAATCTCGATTTACTTAAGTTGCTGCTTGTGGACCTGGTACTTTAGTAATCGTGCTTCAGATATTCTGGGAGCAACATAATCCAGATGATTATGTTCCTGGGCTTTTTAGCCTCTAATGTCAAAACGAATGAGTTAATTAGAGTTAAATACCAAAGCCTTTCCCTTGTGTCACACCAATACTTAGAAAGATTAATATTAGAGGCAAGCTGCAGCGAGCAGATGCCTGCTGAGTGAGGCAACACTGGATCACTTTCTTAGCAATAGAAGTACCCCCCCACCCACATTTACAATCTGAAAAGCATTTGCACTTTTAACTCATCTTTAGACCTTCTTAACTTACACACAGTAGCACATTATCAGGACCATTAGCTAAATTATCTCAAATGACTGCAACATTCAAAGTTACTATAACTGCCACAATTTTCCCTCTTTGTTTGCAAAAGCCAAATGTTCATAGTAAGCATTAGATTACTAGAGATTTATTGCCAATGCATTCAACAATGATGGGTGTAAAAAAGTAATGAAAAAAAGGAGGACATGTCCATTTCCAATTTAAACATTATTGCATTTATTAAAGGAGATCAGCCTTTTAAGAGGAAGGAGCTTTGACGTTTTAAGTACTTTAATTTGTATGCAAACAAGTTAATTAGGAAGCCAAGTATTGGCTTTAACTGCATTAGGGGTTGTGGTAATTGGCCTATGTTTTATAAGCAATAAGAAAAATTCAAGCTTTCTGCAATTGTCCCCGTGGGCAAACAAAAGCACAAAACCAAACAACAAGGCAAAAGCTGATTCCATCTTCTGCATTTTTTTTTTTCTAAAATGTAATTAAAACTTTGAACCAGATAATGCTAATCATTTTTCAAGGCATATAATACTCACTGCAAAGGTTGTTTACAGCTGTAATTCACCTCTGAACCTTAGACTGACCTTACCTGCATGAGCTCCTTTTGTCCAGATCACTCTTCAAGAAATGTTTAGCTGACTTTAGGTAAAGTCGTATTGATGTACATTGCCATCCAGAGATTTTTAAATTATGCTTAGAAACTTAAAAGCTAAAAAAAAAAATGTATTTATAATCTTACTAATTAAATGTATAGAGGACGATCTTTTATTTCCGGGTGGATCATCTAAGAAAGCGGTCCTCTTAATCTTCAATCATTCTGATGATATGTTTACGAAAGGCTGTCTTTCTGTGCATGCATACTTTCAGGCGTATATGTGTGGTGAGCTACGGTTTCAGTCATTGAAGCTCACCTTTCTCACTGCGGTTCTTTGAAAATGGCCGAGGATTGTAAAAAAAAAAAATTGTATACGAAGTGTATGTGAAGAAAAGAAAGGCCTCAGAAGAGGCAGATGTATCCCAGAATGCTTTGAGCAGAGAGCTCTCCTCGCAAATCATTCTGGGATTTGCCATGGCATTCTGGGATTTGCCATCGGCTGTAGCTACCTAACAACAGCGACTAATAACAAAGATGGCGCAGGAGGAGTTACGTGACCAACGGGGAGAAAAAAGCAGTGATCATCGTCTGTTTGCTAGAAATTCCACTATATAGTCCCCACTGTATGTGGACAAAGTTGGCTTGCATGAGCTATGAGAGGAGCACATTTTAAACAGGGCGTGCACGAGGAGAAATGGGCTCGTGCATGGTCTTGCACGCGCATTTATTTATTTTTTTTTTGGAGAGGGCTGTTTTTTTTCAAAAAATCCTCCACAATACCTTTAATTTAGAAATCTAGTCATCACAGTATCCATGATGACCTGGGGTTTTTTAATATCGACTGTCAATGTGTTGAACAGGAAATGTTAACCTTTCATTTCAGTTGATTTGAAATAGTTATAATGGAGGCAATTTTTCTGAAGCATTGGAAAAGAAAAACATCTATAAAGAAGATGATTACTGATAGGAATTCATTTATTATTGTTCATCGTTACCTAAACTCCACTTCTGATTGGTTGATTAGTTTGTTGTGAAAGCTCCTCCCGTAGACATGTGTTAAAGGTTTGTTAGAACATGTCAAGAAAACGACTGAAATTCGACTGAAAAGTTTTTGTCCGCATGGTATGCAATGCAGTATCCATCTGCTAAGTGTACATTTCGTACAAGACAGTTTTGTTTTTCCTCAAAACAATACATCAGCTTATGGTGGCAGGTTTGTCTAGGGGAAATTGATTTAATGCAACAGTAAAGAGACGTTTTTAATATTACTAGATAACTTTTATCCTGATTCATCTTTGCCTCATTTCTAAATAACTTCTTATTCTGACAAAAGTCCAACTCCAGTTTCAGTATGTTAAATATATTTAACAAAATAAATGTTTTCATACTGATCCTGTATGCAATATGTATACTTGATAAATGTCTGAATCATTCCATTAAGCATGAATAAATCTATACAGGTCATGTAACTAATAATGTCATCATACCACAGCGACAGGAGCCCAGTTCCTGCTGTACCAGCTCCAGTTTAGTTTGGCAGCGATGGCAACGTTTGCGGCTCCGCTGTTTAGAGCCGCTGCGAGAAGAAAATGGCGAAGATGATAATGATGATGACGATGACGATGAACACTCCTCACCCTCTGGAACCTCTGCCACTCTTGCCCGCTTCTCTGGTGAGGAGTCACTTTCTGACTCTGAGGCTTAGGACAAAGGGAAATGTGCACATATAAAAAACACAAGATAAGAGAAAAAAAACTGATGACATCTTGGTCAAACTTATAAAAGATTTCCGTTCTGTATCAAAGATTTTGTGTGGAAAATGTTAAAGTGCAAAAATTTATGTTTTCTGGCAAAAAAAACATTTTTTTAGGCTATTCAAGTAAAATGGTATGAAGATTATTCCACAAGTAGTCACTACTGGGAGAGGGCAAAACCTGGTTTGGTGTCAAACAAGAAGGAGAGAGAAAGCAAGATTAATAGGTCTCCTGTTTTAGATTACATGGCCGACAAGAGGGACAGTAGGCGCCTGTAGCAAGCTTCCGCTGGTTGGCTAGAATTTCAACTCAGCTTTTCTCATCAATCCAGCAGACTTTTTCCCTGGCCCTGCCAAAATGCAGATCAGCACTCAATAAATCTCTGAGAACTAGGCCATGCAGTACAGTCAGACATCCCCCTCCCCATTCAACTAGCCTGGCTCATCGATCCTCCATATATGCGGGTGTGTGAGAGTCTGGACATGTGCAGTTTCAAGCTGTGAAAAATGGTTTCCTTTCTACCTGAGTTTTTTTTTTCCTTCATCCTATATTGCTGTTGATAATCTATATAGGTTAAAACAGACCAATTCAAATTTGATATGAAACCAAAGTATTTCTGTCTCTACAGATTTAATTTGGATTATATAGGCATTATTACCGTATTATGATTATACGTAACACCTTATGAAAAATGCGCAGAAAACAGAGCCAAAGGATGTGGATTTAGATTTTGACCTTACATTTAAAGGTTGCTACTTGGGAATGTGTGTTTAACGCCGATCCTCATATGACTTCAGAATAGAGATCAGCATATTATCTACAGCCATCTTAAATCATTTCATACGGTTTCTATATAACTTAAAGTGGCTCTCAAAGTTTACAAAATAAGAAAAATATTGTGGGGTGGTTGCATATCTAAGCAGGCTCTTGAGATAGAAATTTAAAAAGCCACTTTTGATTCAGTTTCAGAACTAATTTTCCTTTAGAGAATTTCTCACAGCAACAGGTGCTCATTCTGGCTTTCTACAGTTCACATCTATCAGATTGTGATTTTCTGCCCATAACCCTTTCCTATTGAATTTTCTGTTAATGTTGCTCTGGACTATAGCTCAGTCATTACAAATTATTTGTTTTCCTCATGAGAAGTCATGCTTTTCTTGATATGAATGTATGCTTGGAATGTGTGGTGCTGAAAAATATAATTCATTGTTAGCCTTCTGGGACCCAAGAAGGTTTAGAGCCAGACGTGGCAAATACAGCAGATACCCTTTAACTGCTGTTAAAGTCGTAGGGAATCGGCTGTTCCAACTGTTGCATTTCCGAATTCTCTCGAGTGGTGCCTGACTTTACACGAGTGAATTAAGTGACTGTGATTGGTGTTGTATCAAGGGGGCGGGATCTTTGTGGCAGTGTAGATACCAGATCTCCTCGGGTCTTGCGCTTGCCAGTAACGTTACGCTACACGATTGGCTGAAGGTTGCCACATAATGTAAAACACAGTGGTGACCCAGACAACAATAACATCACGCAGCATCCATGTGCTGAATCGGGAGCTTCTGTAGCGTTAGCGTGTCTAATGAACGATTAAGTTTTACCTTCACGATAACAAACAAAAAAAAAATCTGTTTCTGGTGAACAAAGTAACTGTTGGACCATGATATAAATGGGGGAGAGCTGGGTAGCACTGTGGCTAGCTGTTTTTAGTAGCTAACAGGTTAGCCTTTTTTAGCTTGGTCAGTTAGCCATATTAAGCTACACTACTTTTGAATTTGTATCAACAACAACTGTCTTATAAAATTATAAATTAATTGTATAAGATGTTCCATTTGTCCTCCTCTGCCCTCTGATCTTAATCAAAAGAATAAAAATAAGCTGAGCCTTTTTTTGTGTCACCTTAATAAATGGTAGACCCCAGTCTGTCTTAGAAGGCAGTGCTTTCCTTCAAAGCTGACGATGATTGTTTTCTACTTTCAGCTACTGCCAGGGCGGCAGAAGCTTGGTTTGGTGTAGAAGACTTATAGCCGTATATGTTTGAGCCCTTGCCTCGCACACTGCCAGGTCTGTTAACTCTACGCCTGCCGAAGACACAGACGTCCATCCATTTGATTGACAGATGACCGTTGATAAATGATGGGCCAGATTTAGGTGTACAAGCTGACGTATAACCAACTGGCCTGCATAAAAAACACACAGATTTTAGGACAGATTTTTTTTTTTTTAATAGAATTTTTTTTATATTTTGGGACAATAAGTCTGAAAAGAGTACATTTATATGTATTGTATATATTGTGTTGTTTTGATGATCTGTTTTGTTTTTGTTTCAAATAGATGTTATGGAGCTGTGGTCTAGTCCTAAAGTTCAAGCTTAGTATAATCAGACCGGAGCACACTACCAGTTGTAGTCTAGAAATTTGGAGAATGCATTTAGCTAAAAGCCAGCACTTTTTAGATATTCTTGCATTTCCTGTACTAATGTTATCGGCCAGTTGATATTTTCCTATCCAGATCCTTCAGTTTTGTGTAAGGGTCAAAACTGTCTAGCTTCGTCACATCTTTTCCATTATGTGGACTGCTTTAATGTTTGAGCTAGCTATCAGCTTTTTGATTTTTCCTCTGATCTGGTTATTTTGACAGGATATTCAGTATATAACAAGTGGAAATGTTTCAACATGATTTATTAAGCACAAGGATTTTTAAATGATGTTTTACCAGTGTGGTACAAGCTTCTGAGAGCCTCAGTAGTTCATGTCCTATTGTATCTTTCTAAATTGTAAATTCCATGTATTGCTCTTTGAAATATGTTTAGGTCTCTGCCCACCCTGGCAACCTTCAATGTGTCCCTCCTACTTATATTACTTCAAGGAATAAAACAAATCCCCTCTGGATCTAGTCAATAGTCTTGAGATTAGCTGTGTAAGTGGGAATGACAAACAAGTGGTAAAAACAAGTAACAGAGATTGAAGCATACCAGATTCATATGAGCGTTTTGAGGGAGTGGAAAGTGAAGCCAGGACAGATTCTGTGTTTGATAGACCTGAAAAACAGAAGTAAAAGGGAGCAAAGATGAGACAGCTTATTTCCTTGATTCAACTTTGCTTCTGTCATAATTACAGAACATTTTAGCATTTTATTTTTCTGTCTTAGATCTTTTGAGATCTTGAAAGTTAAAAAAATGTCATGCTGTACTGTAAAGACGCTGTAACAGAGACAGATGGGTACACTGTGAGGTCACTCAGAAAAGCTCACAGATAAAAATAAAAAAGGCATGATAAACATAAGCTCGCACCTGGTTGCTTGGATACTCTTTTAGCATTTTCCACACAGTATCAGCTAAAAAGGTCATGACTGTCCACTATGAAATCCATTAGTAAGCAGTGAGATATTTTGTTCTGTTTTTTTTCACATGGGACATGGTGCTGCTTTGTCTAGATACATACAGAGAAACAAATGTACGATTAACATAATCGAATCCTATTAAAAAAATTAAAATAGAATTTATTTGTTCAGCATAGCATATTTTAAGGTAGTTTAAACAGTAGTTTTCAAACGTCAAAAAAGATTTGCAATATATTGTGTAATTATTAGAATTTTGTGGAAAAAATTAGTTTGGCAGTTATTTTACATTTGACGTTGATTTGATGTTAGTTTGATAATTTTTGTTTGTCTAAAAGCTAGACACATCTGTTTTATTGTCAATTTCTTCCCCCTGTGCCAAATAGACCTTCACAGGTATACTTGTCACTATACAGAGATGACGGATGCCTGGGCAAACGAAGGTGTCCTATTCAGACTTTCTCTCTTAGAAAATATTCTGTACTATCAGTCTTCCAGCATCTTCTGTAAGGACAAACAGTTCAGTTACTAGTCTTCTGCATTCCCACTTTGGATGCTTTAACCTTACTCAGATGTCTTACATTAAAATTATCGTTTGAAAGCTTTTTGCAATTTAAATTAATCTGATTTTGACACTAGTTTAAACAAAAAAATATATATATCTACCAGAAAAAAACGAATTATTAAACCCATCAACTAACGTAACAAGACGTGTGGCAGAGTAATGGGATGAATTAAACCTGGTGAAACTCAAACTTTTCCACTTGAGTTCTGGATAGAGCATATTGACAGAATTTTTTATCTTAAATGCAGAGTTAACATATTTTTTAACAATCTTGGTATAATTATTGCTCTAAGTGGGTTGCTCTGTCAGCTAAAGGCATGATTTAAAGTCTCTATAATTCATTTAAGGATTAGTCGATTACTAAATTAGTTGACAATCATTTCAATAATCGATTAATCTAATGAATTGTTTCAGTCCTATTTAATATGCAGTGAAATAAAAAGACGTAGATGGAGCTGACCGAGCAGCAAGTCTCGGTCAATCAGATTGTAATGTTGAGTTAATTTGTAGTAATCTCATTACTTTGGTGTTTATATGTTAAGAGACTTTATTGAGGATTTTGTTTTTAATTGAACACATGCAAGATCATAAAAACTGCATAGCTGAGTCACTTAGAGCACTACTGGTATTGACAGCGCGCTACTTAACTCATGACTACAAATATAACAAGAATGCCGTCGAAAAAAAAACACAAAAACATATTTTATTTTAAAGCACAATTTAAAAAGAATGCAAAACAAATCATGCGCTCTTACCATTCTGAATATGAACAGATGTCACTCCAGTCTCTCCTGGCAAAGGTTCTTCTGAATTGCTGGATCTCGACATCAGGGACTGACTAATGCTGTTTGTTTCACTACAGAAGATGTCTGTCTGACTGCTGGTGGTGGTGCTTGAAGAGGTCTTTGGGGCACAATCATCGTTCGACTGTTTCTTCTCAGTGTCTAAGAAGAAATTGGAAGGGTGAGATGGGTTTTCTGCTGCCTTAGTCTGCATATTCCAAGACAACTTTCATGTTTTGGAAACAGCTGAAAGCTAACAGGGCAAGGTTTAAAACATGTGTGTGTGGCACAGCGATGCATCTTTGGATGAAGAACAGATTTGAACAGATTTTATGCCAAGACTTTCTGGCATGTGGGAAAATGTGATTATAACGTGAGTGAGATGAATGCTAAACTATTTTGGAGATATTTCACCCCAAGAGGGACAAATTTAATGAACACACAAAACAATTGCCAAGTTTTAGCAATAGGTAAAAAAATGTCTTTCTTGTTAGTCTTGAAATCTCTGTGTAAAGCACTGCCATTCCTTAGAAGACTGGGGTTATAATACATTCAGGTGAAGTCAACCATTACACACAAAAGAAGAGTCAGATGACATCTTGAGTTACCATTTAACATTGTGGCTGTGCAAGCCTTTTGCATTATAGTAAATTCTACTGAATTTATTACTAATTATCTGCATTCTAATAACAATGGTGAAGGACTTTAAATTTAAAATGATTTGTAATGCAGTTTAGTGCTTTGAGACACATTGTTAATACAGAATTTTGAATCAGTTGTTTTCCTTCAATCAGAGCGCTTTATCACCCTCAGTTGTATTAAGTTGCTAAAGATTATCATCAACTCGAGTTATCGTACTCCTCATTTAAGACAGTAAGAGATATGACAAATCAGAGCAGATGTGAACATATGAGAATAACTTACCTGCAAAACATTTTGAGCAAAGATTCTTGGTTTTGCTCGACCTAGAAGGGGATGAAAGATGCCGTGTTAATCAAGTAGATGTGTAGAAATTCAGAAAAGCAGAATGCAGACAAGTCTAAGTACCTATTACTGGTGAGTAACAAGACCAGTCTAATGGCGACAGAAGTAGAAATTAAACTCAGATACAATATTAGGAAAGATGGCCTATTCAAGACAAGGGGTTTACACTGCAATAAAAGTTTTTAAAAAATAAATACATAATTTAATAGGTTAAAATTACAAAATAAATTCCCACTAATCTTACTTATTTCTAAATAGATTGAAGAAATTTTAAAATTCTAATCAACTAATTATGTAAACTTTGTTTTAAAGACCAGTTGTCTTTTAATGGACTCACAGCCCTGTTGTTAGCAGCTCCAGAAACTCTGTCCAACCCTGCATACTTTATTCATTGTGACGACTCAGTATGTTGCTTCTTCCCTCCTAAAGTCCTAACATGTTCCCAAAAGCATGTCCAAATGTTTGTTGTGCTTTTTCTATTCTAGGAAAGCTCTATTTTAAATCCTTCCAAAACTTCATATCAAACATCTTATGCAATAAAATCAGATGGTTCTTTCTTTGTTAGAAACTCTTTTTCTGATCAATAAAGGCCACATAACTAAGGACTAAAAGGCAAGCAGAACTCCTTCTGTTGACTTTAGTACCGAGTAAGGAAGACTGAAAGTTAGCCAGCATCAATATTAGTGAGAGTCATAATAAGCATGGAAGTGTAAAATCTATTCAAAAGTGTATTTAAATAACTTGGGCATTTAGGACAAAAGCATGGCGATTTTGTATAGTCCTTGAAGTATTTGCTAAAGCTTCCCATAAAGCACATCTTTAGAATAATACTATCACAGAGATGACCAGTGATGGTTTTAATAGTGCACCTTTTCTACATCAGATATCTCTACCTTCCTCTTCAGAACCGTCCCTTATTTCCTCTCTGACAGTCGTTCTTACTGTCAGTGCACAAAGTGTGACGGTCGCTGCTATCAGTCACATTCTATTTATTGTAGGTGCTTCACTGCACACCTTTGTCCTCATTTCTAAAAGTAGGGTCAGCCGCAGTCAACCAGTGGGGTGCCTGATATTTTACACTTGCAGGGTCTCGGGTATGATGCAGAAAAGGGGAAAATGGAGAATAGGATGGACGCCAAATCTCATGCATGCTGAGAGGATATAAATCCCATCCTTCTATTAACTCTGCAAATGAGAGGCAATCAAACCACAGAGTCATTAAGAAGGAATAGAATGAGGGAGGAGAAATATGCTGCAGCCTATTCTACAGCCTTTAGCCTCAATGAAGTTTGAAGAGCGTGCAGAGTATCTGTGTTTTACCACTGGCCCGGTGCTAATGAGAATATCTCATTAGGAAAGATCTCTTTTTTTTGTGTCCATGTGTGACACACAAAAAAAAAAGATAAATAATAGTGAAAGGTTAGTTACCATCAAAAATCAAAGATCTTACAAAATGTCTATTGAGACATTTATCACTCATGGTGTCTGAATTATTCACACAGTGATGGTCTATCACATACAGAGAGTATGCTGAACTGATGTCACAAAGCTAGATGAGATCATAAATTATAGATTACTGTGCTCTCAATTTTCTTACAATGCCAACATAAAATTATATAATTTAAATAGGATATTAGATATAGCAGTGCGGTATTTATTAAAATTTTCTGTTAAATTTAGTGAGGAACAATTTGTAAAAACTCATGAGGAATTATAAAATAAATTATGTTATAAATATTTTTTATGCTTTTATGGTCGCGTATTGGTTGTGGCAATTTGTGTCCCTTATAATTTGAGAGTGCTTATTTTTTTTCTCCACAACAATATATTGATATAGTATATAATTATTCTAGAAAGTATAATTTATGTTTAATTCTTTTTGTTAACCAAATAGATAGGGAAGGATGTGCATTTTATACATTGTATACAGCTATGTCAGTTTTAATTAGTGTTAAGAATTTTAAAATGAAAATAAATGTCTTTCACTTAATGTTTTAACATAACTACACACCCCCTAAAAAGACTGATATGACAGATACGCTTTGGCTTTTCTAGCAAAGAACAAAAAATAAATAAATAGTGCACAGCTCCAGAGCAATTAAATTAGTAGCATGAATGGTGTCACTACATTTTGAATAAAATTCATTATTTTGAATGAGTATGAAGCCAATTATCAGGGTAACTAATTTTAAAAAAAATACAAATACACTATGTTGTACCCAGAACTACTCAAGCGGAAATGTTTAAGTTTCCCCTGGTTTAATTTCATAAAAAATTCTGTTTAAGGAACCTTATGCTGTCAAATTATTAATCAATAAATCAAAAGAATAATAGATAGCAGTGCTCGTTGTTAACCATTGCCCAATCTCCCAGGGCAAGTTGTGTTTATTGTTGGGAGATGATCCCAAAAAAAAAAATTTATTTATCACTCAAAATTACTTTAAAATCACGGAAATTCGATGACAACGAACCAGAAGCGTTGCCTTTTTGTTGTTTTGTACACATTCTCGCGATGCAGGTCATACATTAAAAATGTTCATTAAATTTTTTTCTCTTAGACATTGGAGAGGTGCATTTAAATGTTATAGAGCTAAACATGTTAAATTGGTGACTTGTTATGTTATTATCATTGCCTTGTTGCTACATTTATTTTGTCATTGAAAACTAATCCTGAGTCAGTTAAAAGTCAGGGAATTCTGAAATTATGTAGGACTGTGGAAACCCTGTATAAAATAACTATGTATAACGATTCTCTAGAAAAGTCACATTATATTAATAGTATTATTTTGTATAAACATACCGTGACTCTAAAATAAAAGTTATTCATTTGTGACATTGACTTCTGTCTTGTGATTTATCTTAAGTTTTTAACCTGTCAAGTTTTTTTTTAGATTTTTAACATTACAATTTATATTTTCCCAAGCACACAACACTTTAAAGCAAAGTTTAGTTTGAAAAGAATGCAGGAAGGATTGAAAAGAATGTTAACACAGTAATGTAGGCTTGAGTTCATTATCTGATGCATGCATATACACACCAGGAACCTGTAAACTTAAAAAATACTGAATTACAAAAAACATTTAAAAAATAAACATGTTTCATTGATATATATACAACAATGAATATTAGGAACTATATTTATCAAACATTATACTGGGCAAGTAAAAATAGTTTATGGGCAAATGAAAAGTGAAAGTCACTTGCCCTTTGGGCAAGTGGTAAAAATCCTTAACGTCAAACCCTGGATAGATCTGCTAACAAATCAATAGTTGCAGCCCTAAATTGAAATAAAAGTTCGATTTTCAAAGCTATTTATGTCATTTGTCATTTTTTATAAAACCCTGGTGAGGGAAACATGTATTCATTGGATTTGGTAGGAAAAACAAGATAAACAAATATGTGATTAGATTTTTTTTCAGCCACATCGCCCAGGACTTACAATAAGGTGACCAAATAACCCCTTTTTTGGACCACTTTTCACTGATTTAACCGCCTGATAAATTTAAAAAGAAATGTTGCAGGAAGGCTGCCATTACAGTAACCGTATACAAATCATGATAATAACAGCTTGTTTCATCGCTGTTAAAATTACAATAAGAGTAGAAGAGGTGATCGTAGCTCCCATCTTTAAAAGGAAAAAGGACATCAGAAAGCAGAGCAGCAGCTTCGCACTACAGACAGGGAGCTGTCCTTTGGTGTGGCAGCCTGGAATTGGTTAATGTAGTGTTGACCAACTGATTGTTACTATGATAAGGGTTTAGTTTGGCCTTGAAACTAGTACTAGGGTTGTAAACCTTCACTGTGCCCAGGTAAACAAAAAAAAATAATAAAAAAAATGAAAATAGGACTGAGACCTGTTTTGTTTTAATAAACATGAGAAGTGAAAAATGAACCAACAAAATGAAACACACTCTTCGTCTACAGTGTCAACATGTCCTCCTCCAGAGTGAGATAGTTATGCTATGTTCACACCGCAAGCAGTAGAAGCATCAAAAACGCCCATGCTTCTTAATTTTTTATGCTTGGCAGATTTTGGCATTCTAAGTTAATTTAGACGTTAATTCTGTTTCATTGATCGTAGCGCACTGCATCGGCAGTGCTGTGTCTGTCTCTCTGCCAGCTCCCAGATCAGCTTCTCTGATTGGTCTATGTGGCATGTCGAGCAGCAAAAGTTAAATTTTTCCAACTCCAGCAATTGCTGCTTTCGCAGCGCGTCCCGTGAGGTCAGATGCTAATGAGGTGCTGCTTCAGCTGCTCAAACGCGCTGCTCCTGCTGCTGAAAACGCACTGCAGGACCTTTTGCTGCGCATCAACCATTGACTATGCATGTAAATTAGCTGCCTCTGCTGCTTTAGGTGTAAACATAGCATTAGAATGGGCTGGTGACTTTTCATTTTCAAAGTTTGTTATGAGTTGTTTTCCTAATTCATAATAATAAAAGTCCTTCAGGCTTAGGTGTGTTTCTCCATTTATTTTGAATATATGTGAGTAGCTCATGAAACAATAAAAGGATTCAGTGACTTAAAACCGATGAATGGGCCAAGTACCCATTAACAGAAAAAATACAAGGAGGTAAAAATTAATTACCTGGTTAGATGTGCATTTCACCTAATAAGCTTGTAGCACCCAATTTAATTTGTTTTGTGTTTATTTGTTGATAAACTGGAGGAATTTCAAACATTTGCCAAATAACTTTCAGATGTTTGTACAGGCAAAATTAATTGTTTATATTTGGAAAATAAAAAACGTACAGATCTAAATATATGTTTTTGTCAAAGTTTGTATAAGTACCCCCTGCCACCTTAACTTGTATTTATTACAGAGTAATTTTAAATGTTATTGTAAAATATACAAATAACATTTAAACACATCAGCTATACAATTTATCACAGGCTTCAGAGTGGCACTAATGAGCATCTAACAAAAGGAGGGTACAAGAAGGGACCACCAGTCCTTCCTTTTTTAGAGGTTTCTACTGCGGAACAACCAATTCAAATGATTGTAATAGCTGTGTAACTTACCACCAAGTGCTGCAGACAACTATTAATCACTCATTTATTTAATCGTGTGTTTCACCAGGAAGTGTACATTTCTAGAGTAGGAAATTTCAACTGGAAGGAAGGAAAATCAGGGCAACGAGACCAACTGCATCAGCAGAAGGTAAATGTTTCTACTTTGTCTTTTTCAGCTTTTCTTTCAGTCTCCACTGTAGTATTATCATTGTATGGTAGACTTCACTCCCCCACCAAGAGAGGACTCACAAATGATTACTGCCAACTTTAATGTTGAAAATATACACATTAGAGTTTATAAATGTAGAAAATATGCTGCATAAGTCAAGACTGAGCAGCAGACAGTACAGAAACCCAAAGAACACAACAAAGACAAGAAGGATTCTGGTAGAGCTCTATGAATTTCAAGGGTTGAATCCAATCCAACATCCCTGGAAAGACCAGAAAATGAGCTATTGAAACTCCCTGTCCACCCTGAATTTTTAAGTGGAACTACAGAAGAAAAATCTGCACATCTTTCCAAAAGCTTTTCTGACCTTTGAAAAGTTATGTAGTAATGTTTGAAACAGAACAGGAGGGGTGTAATAAGGAGTATGATTAAATTGGAAATTCATTTTGTACTGCTAATAAACCTATAAAATATATGAATGGAAAATTCGTATAATTGATGTGTCTTAAAGGAGAACTGTTTATTTATTGATTCTTACTAACAGTAATGAACCATTGGTATGTTTGTTCCGTATGAAAGCAATTCATTAGGTTATCTCTATCCCCCCCTTTTGCTGAATACGTTGTGTTAAGTAGTGTTAAGCATTAATACTGTCTCGTATGCCAAATTATCTTAATCTACACATCTACCTTATAGTTTAACCTCACAATCTAATTTTAACAAGGCCAGTTAAGGTTAGCTACAAGCTAGTGCTACAAAACAATGAGGACGGGTTAATGACAAGAAAGGCAGCTCATCTCTGTTAGGGTTGCTAATGCTAGCTGTTTAGCTAACCGTTGGAAGAAAAAAAAATTAGGAAATATGTTTGTGAAGCTTTTCTGTCTTACCCCCAAAAACCACAGGGACAACGCGGGGGTAAAACGTTGACGTTGCTAGGACCCTTGCTGCCCTCGCTCCCGGTGTCCCCCATGTCTGTCCGCCGTGACAAGCTCTCCGCGTAGCAGGTGAATCCGTGGATGGAGTGAAGGCCTCCTGTTTGTTAAGCTAGCCCGAGCTTTAAAGCTCTCCTCTACAGTCGGGTTATTTCTCAGAGTTTCGGCCTCAAGTAAATAACTCTGCCGACACGAGCGGCGGGCGAGCGCGTAAAATTAATCCAGTTTTACTGGAAGTCGGGGCCCGTCGAAAGCAACGACGGACAGGGCCACCGGGGACGCTGGGCCGATCAGCTGGAGAGAGGAGCAGAGCGCTGGGAGAAAGGGGGAGGAGCTTAGGGCGCTGGAGGAGCCAAACTTGGGCTCATGTGGATGGGTTCCAGAGTTTCATAAAAAAAAAGCAACAACAAAATGATTCACAGTGGCGGTTCCAGACCAGATTTACCAGGGGTGGTAGGGTGGGACCAGGGACACATAACTAAAGAAGAAAAACAACATCAGTGGCTCGTCCTTTACTATGCTAGGGGAGCCACAAAGCCAAGCCTGTAGACTCTATAACTAGAACAGAGGTCCCAAAACATTTACCCTAAAATTAACAATGCAACAAACTAGAGACTCTCTATAAATAATTTGAATTACTTCATTCTATGTTAATTCATAGTGTAAGTAACTGTATTCATTTCGAAATCTATTTTTTTAATGACATCCATAATTTCTTAAAGGGGAACGCCGTTTTTTGTTGTTGTTTTTTTACATTGGCCCCTTGATTTTACGTTATTAAATCATTTTCTACTCACCCGTATGAGTTTTGTGTCATTTGGAGCTGTTCTCAAGATATTCCGTTATATCCAAGTAACGTCTTCCTATGGGCAACGACTTGAAGGCACAAAATAAACTGTTCATAATTTATCATTTATGGTACGGCAGCATTCATAACATGTAGGTGAATCACTGTCCCCCAGACATCCGCAGTTATATTTTTTTTATTTTTATTTTTATGTCAAAAGTACACACCTTTGTTACTTAAGCAGAAGTATAGATACTGCAGTTTAAAAACACTCTGGTAAAAGTTGAAGTATCAACTTGACCTCTTTACTCAAGTAAAAGTGAAAAAGTATGTGCTCCAAAAACTACTTAAAGTATAAAGCAACCTTTAAAAAAAACAGCCAGATATCACTATATGAATTGAAAGCTCAATTTTTCGACTATTTCGAAAAAATTCTTTGAGATAGGGCCAAGAATGAGGGAGGTCTTGTTGGTCTCCGTCTCCATCTACCGATACGCTCTCGCCTGTCTTCGACCTTTCAGACATTTTAACATAGTTTTATGAATCCAACATTGTAGCATGGCATAGACAATTCGTGTTTGCAGTTTGAAGAACACATGCTTGCTTCTGATGATTTCCCTTTGGCTCCAGCACAAATTTGACGAATAGCTAACCAATCATTTTTATTTTATTTAGTTTTTATCATTTTTATTTATTTATTTGTTTTTCTTAAATTTTTTTATTGTGAATGTAATGTAATATGCTCCCTTATGTATTTATTTACTCCCTTATAATGGAATTTTTATAGCAGTGTTTTTATGTGTAAATGCAGGGTGATACATAGTTTGGACTATGTAGCAGCCAGAGTCTGTACCCAAATTAAATTTCCTTTGGGACAATAAAGTTAATCTTATCTTATCAATGAGTGTTTGCATTATATGACTCATCCAATTACACTAGTTTTCACTAGATGTGGATGGTGCCAATGATCTGCATTGGATGGCACACATGATGTGAAATAAATATTTATAAACATTAAACCGAATCCAAGAGTAATGAGTAACGTTTGTTTTAAAAATGTAAGTAAAAGAAAGTACAGATACTCTTGTGAAAATGTAATCAGTAGAAGTCAGAAGTAGGAAGAAAAATAAGTAATGGAGTAAAGTATAGAGGGATTATCAGGCAACGTCACTCTACGTCACTTCCGGCACCAATGCGCATGTCGCCTGCAGAAAGAGCCGCTAACATGTCTTGTTGTGCTGTCAGTTGCACGAACCGTTTTGATAAAAACAATAAAACGCGCAAGTTTTACCGAATCCCATCAACTCGCACCCCTTTCAAGGCAAACAAGAGACGTCTTTGGTTGCAAGCCATCAGAAGAAGCGATTGGAACGAGCAGATGATTAAAAATGCATCAATCTGCAGCGATCACTTTATATCAGGTAAGTCTTATCTATAAAAAAGCTAAACGGCATCGCTGGTTTTACAAACAATGGTTTTACATACAATTATTAAGTATTACATATATAAACGGGATTAATGAATCGTACAAAACACATTGGAGCATAACTAGCATACAAGCTAATGTACCTTGATTCAGTCTTATCAAGTTGCAACTCATCGGGTCAGCCATAAGTTTTATCATTAACATCATCACGTTGTCTGGTCTAAACTTCTCTGTGTGTGCTGTCTTTTCAATTGATTGACTAGTGTCTGTAATAAAGGTTGATGATGATGATGATTGCTTCAATTCATTATTTGTACAGGAGAGGCATCAGACGACATCCCAGACTTTGTCCCGTCTATCTTTCCATACTCAATCCAGCCCGGCAAAGACGGTGTTGCAAAACTGGAGCGGTAAGTATCACATCTGTGTGCTTGATTGTTGTCTGATTACAAGCATGACTCCACATAGTATGACTGGAAGTGCAAAGAAAAAATATTGATATATTGTAGCTATATAGGTTACCCGGGTTAAAGGTCAGAGCATGTAGTTTTTATTAGACATCTCATATGGAGAGTTGGGATGACTGAGCATGTGATTTGTATGGACTTGAATTCAGGAGATTGTTCTCTCCTGTGTGTTTCAGATATAAGAGAAAAAGAAGAAGGGATGCAACCCTCAGCAGGTGTCCACAAGATGGACATCAGTGTACACCCTCTTCCATCTCTCCAACTGAGTGTGGAATAGAGGCTGGTGCTGATCTATATAATGGTATGAAACCTTATTACTAACCTGACCAAGACGGCCTGCAAACTCATTTGGATTTTTATAAAGGGACGTAGATCTGTGTGTTCCTAAATGTTAACATATTAATTATTGCAGAATAGAAAGGTCACTAGTGTACGGAAGAGGTTTAGGGCCACTGAAAAAAAAGTAAGCTGATTTTAAAAAAATTTTTCAGTTTAACATGGGAACAAAGTCAGAATTCTGACTTTTTTCCCATACTATACTGAAATAAAATAAACAAAAACAGTTAACTTTTTTTTTTCCAGTGGCCCTTATCCTCTTCCGTACTAGTGGGATTAATCAGTTAGTAATGTTCATATTTGTTGCAAACAGGTATTTGCCCACAGTGTGACTTATCACCCAGAATGTAACCATTTGTTTTTTGTAAAGATAAGAATGTAAAATTTGTATTTATTTTTCAGAAGGTATGGTCCAAAAGACTGTCCATGATGACCTCCAGCTGAAGTACAGCCAACTTCATACAGAGTGTGATAACCTGCGTGAGGACATCAACAAACTGAAAACAGAGAATGAACAATTAAAAGAAATGCTCGGGACTGCACAGTTCTCTTTTGCGTCACTGAAGTGTAAAGCAGCACAGGTGCTGTTTTTCACAGGTCTAACCAGTGCCCTCTTTAATTGGGTCCTGCAGACGATTAAGGACAGTGTTGAGGTCATCCGTGGCTCTCTGACCCTAGAGGATCATCTTTTGGCTGTACTCATGAAACTCAGATTAGGACTCACCAACAAGGATATTGCATTCAGATTTAATGTTAACGAATGTGACATCTCTAAAATCTTAAGAAGTTGGCTGCCTATTATGTCTCAGATTTTTAAAACCTTTAATCAAGTGGCCAAGTAAGCATGCTATTTTAAAGAATATGCCAAAATGTTTCAAACCTAAATACCAGCGTTGCAGGTGCATTATTGACTGCACAGAAATTTTTTATTAACAGACCAACAAATTTAACAGCCAGAGCCCAAACATATTCAAATTATAAGAGCCATAACACGGTTAAGTATTTGGTTGGCATGTCACCTGCAGGAGCAATTACATTTCTGTCTGCAGGTTGGGGTGGGCGTGTTTCTGATAAACAACTTACAGCCGAGTCTGGATTTTATGACCTTCTACAAGTAAATGATGAGATACTAGCAGATCGTGGTTTTACCATTAGAGATGAGCTTGCCTTGCGTGGTGCTACCCTGAGGATCCCTCACTTTACCAAAGGTAAAAAGCAGTTGTCTGCTCAAGAGGTGGAAACATTGAGGCGTTTGTCCAATGTTAGAATACACATTGAAAGAATAATAGGGAGATGGAAAACTTTCCGAATTCTTACTACTGTTATTCCTTTATCACAGGTGGACCTGTTAGATGACATTGTAATTGTTTGTGCAGCATTGACAAACATTTGCAAATGCATAGTCCCTAGAAAATAAATTAAAAGCCCTTAATTGAATTGTGCCAAAATTAAGGCCTTAATGTTGTTAACATCTATGAATTGAGGTTTAAATGTCATTGAATATTATTTTTTTTTTGAAAAAAATGATTGCCTAAGTATTTTCACTGCATAAGCTCATTGAACATTCAAAAGCTGTGGTTTAAAACATTTTGCAGCAGTTTTGGTTCAAAATGTGTGTTGTATCCAGTTTGCTTTTGAATATTGAGATTTTTCCTCATTCCTCTGTTGTATGATATATTTCAAAATCTTAAATGAAATATGCAGATATTTTGCTTTGTGTTTTGCCATTGAAAAGAATACAATTCAATCAGCTGATACCTGTGTACACCCTGTGTAAATATTAATAAAGTATTCAAGAGTCAAGGAAACATTGAAATATATTTATTCTTGTGCATGTAACCAGTAATAAAAATAACAATATTAAACAATCTTGTCATAAGATGCACACTGAGAACCTTAGTGCATACTTTGAATGGTAAGCACAGGTACAGTTACAACTCTATTTTTCAGAGTGCATTTTTTCTAGTTTTTCTGTTTTTTGCGCTGATCATCACAATACCATTCTTTAGCCTTTCTTTTTACTTTTGCACATTCGTAATGGAAATGCCTATTGCACTTTGCACAGGTGGGAATGAATGTCCGGCCACTGAATTTTTGGGCCATTTTTTCTCGTCATTTATCCACTCACCGGCATGTAACGCGTATGGGTCATTAAGACGTATTCCATTAACTAGTGTTAATTTAGCAGCATAACTTATTTTATCACTAGGTGATAAACTGTTGTAGAACGCTGACAACATCGCTAGTTAGGAGATCGCAACTGCTAAATAACCGCGTATAATCACAACATTCGACCAGACGCTTTAAAGGACCCG